CACTTTCACTTTATTATCAAAGAAATGGAAAAAAAACTCTATCACATAGACAATGGAATTCATTTTCACATGATTTAAGAATAAACTCACTTTCATATACATAATGAAGTCACTTTCACATAAAGAATTAAATTTACTTCTCAGAGATAGAACACAAACACATAATTTATTTGCACACAAAGAATGAACTCGCTTTTGCATAAAGGAAAAGATAAATTTCCACATAAACAATTCTTTCTAAATAAATGAAATACAAACCTTTTCATATAGACGCTCAAAGAAACAAACACGCTTTCGCAAACAATCAAACAAACATGCTTTCACAAACAAACAAACACTTTCACAAACAAACACGCTTTCACAAACATAGAAACAAACACGCTTTCGCAAACAAACAAACAAACACGCTTTCACAAACAAACACTTTCACAAACAAACACGCTTTCACAAAGAAACAAACACATTTTTCACTTGGTTCAAAATGAAAAAAATGTGAAAAAATTACCTAAGAGAGGAAGAGGAAGAGAGAGTTCCACGATGAAACTTTTTTTTTCTCTCGTAATTTTTACTTTTTATTTTATTTTTTTATTATTATTATTATTTTTAAATTCTGGGAACAGATTTCAAGCATCTCATGTCCTCAGAGTGTGTGTTTATGGTTTCATTGTTTTTTCATCGTTAGCAAATTAACAAACAACAACAAACAACGACAAACAAGCAACAACAAACAAACAAACAACAAGAAGCAAACAATAATTGAACACGAAACAAATGAAACAAATCCATTTTTATTATCATCATCATCATTATTATTATTATTATCATTATTATTATTATTATTATCATTATTATTATCATTATTATTATCATCATCATCATTATTATTATTATCATTGTTATCATTATCATTATTCATATTACTATTACTATTACTATTAGCATTATTATTATAATCGTTATTATTATTATCATTATTATTATTATTATTATTATTATTATTATTATTATTATTATTATTATTATTATTTATGGATAATGGCTTAAAACTTAAAGAGGCTGAACTTTTCTACCCGTGTAATTCATAAGCGGTTGGGAAACCCGCTATATATTAGCATAGATATTAGATTGGGTGAGAGTAAGTGTAAGAGTGAGTGTGAGAGTGAGTAAGAGAGAGTAAGTGAGTAAGCGAGTGTAAGTGAATAAGCGAGGGTGAGTAAGTGTAAGAGTGAATAGGAGTGCGAGTGAGTAAGAGAGAGTAAGTGTAAGAGCGAGTGTGAGAGTAAGTAAGCGAGGGTGAGTAAGAGAGAATAAGTGTAAGAGTGAGTATGAGAGTAAGTGAGTAAGAAAAAGTGTAGGAATGAGTATGAGAGTAAGTGAGTATTGGAGAGTAAATGTAAGAGTGAGGAAGCGAGAGTGAGTAAGAAAGAGTAAATATAAGAGTGAGAGCGAGTAAGCGAGAGTAAGGGAGACTAAGTGTAAGCATGAGAACGAGTAAAAGTATAATTATGAGTGATGATAAAGAGTGAATAACTGAACGAACGAAAGCATAAGCGAAAGAATGAGGAAAAACGAAAAAGAAAGATAGATGTATAATAAAGAGACAGACGGATAAATGAATAATGGCAGAGAGAGAGAGGAAAAATGCTTGACGTTATCTGCATCCCCAAGTGAGCGCCGTCACGACATAGAGAGCGCCATTGCCACAAACGAGCAGACAAAGAAACAAAAAAAAAAGGAAAAAAAAGGAAAAAGAAAATACAAAACAAAAAAACAAAAGCAATGTTCCTAGACCACGGCTGATCCAAATCCATTTTTCTCGAGAGTCACGTAAATTGGGAATGACGGTTTAAACTTTTGTACGAGAGCCAGAGAGAGTTTTATTTAAATTTGCGCCAAGAGAGGTGTATAAATCAATATGCAAAATAGGTTCGTAGCCCCTTCAAGCCTGAACCTCTCCCCCCCCCCTACCTCCCCACCCCCACCCCCCCTCCGCCGCGCCCACAACCCCCTACGTCATTCGAGTTTGAAAAATAAGGGAATTAAAAAAAAAAAAAAAAAAAAATCGGACATATTCTTCAATAGGATTCCTCATCGCAAGAATATCGATATTTTGTAACAATCGGGTTAAAGAGACAAACTAAATAGACACAACGGATAAAACAGATTGATTTAAAGTACTTTGGCGGAAAGCGTTCGTTGCTGAATTTTTAAAAATTATTATTGTCTCCTGATTTGTTATTTTGTCGATATGGTGATTATGAATTTTGAATTTTGCGGTAATCTTTTATTTGAACGGTTCAGTTTTTTTCTCTTTATTCCCCTTTCTTTTTCCCATCTTTCTTTTACTTTTTTTTCTTCTTCTTTTCTTTTTCTTCTGTTTTTTCTTGCTCTTCTTCTCCTTCTTCTCTATCTCATTTTTCTTCTTCTTCCTCCTCATCCTTCTCCTCTTTCCCCTCTTTTTTTTCTCCCCACCTCCCTCCCCCTCTACCTCCCTTCCTCTCCCCCTTTACCTCCCTCCCTTCCTCCCCCTCCCTCCCCTCTTTACCTCCCTCCCTTCCCCATACCTCCCTCCCCCCTTCCCTTCCCTCCCCCTACCTCCCTCCCCTCCCCATACCTCCCTCCTCCCTCTTTCCACCTCCCCTCCCTCTCCTCTTTACCTCCCCTCCCTTCTCCCTCC